ATATATTATTGAATTAATATATTAAAATTTTTATTTATAAAAAAATATTATAAATATTATAAATATTAAATAATACGTAAATTATTATAATATATTTTTCTTTTTTATTATAATAATAATATAAAATTTATTTAATAATATATTATTTTATAAATTTAGATATAAATAGATATATTTTTAGAAATTTTTATATTATTATTTACTAAATATTTTAAAAATTATAATAACATATTCTATTTATACAAATTGCTATATTATTTATTATTAAAAATATAAAATTTTTTAAAAAAATAATAATATAAATTTTAAATTTATTTATATTTAATACAAAAAAATAAATTTTATATTATTTATACTTTTTTTATTTATAATTTCTATAATCAATAATTATTATTAATTTAAATAGATACTTATTCATATATATTTACTTTTAATTTTAATTTTAATTTTAATAAAATAATAATATAATTTAATTTTTTTTTAAAAAAAACTTGTGGTAAATATTTAAATAATTTTTTTTAAATAAAATATAAATAAATTTATCCTTAATTATAAATATCTTAAAATTTTTTTATAATTAATACATATTAATATTAAAAAAACATTATTAATAATAAATGAAAATATTAATAATATATATATTTTAATTAACTTGTATTTTTGGTTTACATGTACTCTAACACTAATGTGTCCATGATTAAATGTAAAAAAACTATCCCTACAATGTAATCTTCCCTGATGATGATTATACAGATATCCGTAATTTACAATCTAAAATGTCCCGTAATATGATTATAACTTACGATATGTCCTATTTCTCAAACTTACCTAAAAATCCTAAAAATAAATTGATAATTGAAACTTGTGAGAAAGCTTTAAAAACAGCATTTAAATATTTTTCTGATCTTATAAAAATAGTTCCAAAATCTGAAAAACAAATGAGATTTAATTCCAATATTAAAAAATGTGGAGAAGTTACAATTCCTTAAATAGACAGAGACAAGGGAAAAGATTCTGAATTTACATATATATGTATAATATAATTATGATTCAAAATAACCTTTTTTAGCCTTTGCTGCTAATTGTTAATTTGTGTATAAGGTAGGACCTTCTCATGGTTAAATTACTTTTAATTTGGATTAATTAGAAAAAAAAGATTTAAGTTAAAAATATATCTTTTAAGATATATTAGAATTAGTTATCCATGAAACGACTCATCTTTTGGGTTTTTCACAACACTCTATACCTTTATGGATATAATCTGATAAAAGTCTTTATAAAGAACCTACTATAAAAAAAAAATTAAGGGGAATTGATACTTTATTTCTCAAAACTCCTTATGTTTTATATTTTGCTCGAAAATATTTTGGTTGTCCTTCCTTAGATGGTATGCCTCTTGAAAATATAGGTGAAAATTTTGTAAATTCTCATTGGAAAAACACAATAATCAATAGTGAATATATGAATGCATATTAATAACCTTTATAGTCATATTTTAGTGGTTTTACAGTCAATCTTTTAAGAGACACAGGCTTCTATGAGTAAATAAAAGAATCTATGGTAGAAGAAATATTCTATGCTAAAGGAGTAGGCTGTCAACACTTCACTGATAGTTATTGTAATTCTTATAAAGATGAATATTGTATTCCTTAAACTGAATAAGGTTAATGTGATTTCCACCATATTGGATCTTCAAATTGTATTATTGGTTAATTTAATGAATCACGTTGTCATACATATTAAGTTTCTTTATAAAAGGAATGCTGGAATATTAAAAATATGTAACAATCAAAATAACTAATAGAAGTGTACGGAATTTAATATGGAGTTGATTCGAAATGTTTTGACTCTTCTTTAGTAAAAATACTTATAATGTGATAATCCAAAAATTTAGGTTTATGCTATAAATATAATTGTAGTTCTACGGATATAGTGACTATTCATGTAGGAAAATAAAAAATTGTTTGCACAAAAAATTTTCAATATATGCAAGTTAAGGGATATAATGGAAGTATTGTATGTCCTAAAATTATAGTGTAGTTTTGCAAATTTAAAAAAATTTGTCCAAAATTCTGTAGTTATAACGGATATTGTTTAAATAATAAGTGTTTTTGTAATAAAGGATACTTTGGAGGCGATTGCAGTTTAAGAAATCCTTTTTGAGAAATATTACTGTTTTTTTATTATTATTTTTAATATATAAAAAAGACGATTGATTAATATTTATATAATTTTTTTTTTTTATGTTAAGAATTTAATTTCTAATTTTTAATTATTATTTAATTTTAATTTTATTTTTATTTTATTTTATTTTAATTTTTTATAAAAATGAATAATAATTGTAAAAAAATTATAAAGATTAAATTATAATTTATTATGAAATTATCAATTTTTAAATTTGTTTTTATTATTATAAATAATAAAAAAAAATTAATAATAATCTAAAAAAAATATATATATACATAAAGATATTTATATATTTTAAAAGATATATTAGTTTTTATTATTAAAATAAAATATATAAATTTTTAAAATCTTCTTATGCTTATAGATAATAATTAATATTTATAATTTTTTTATTTCTATAATAAACTTTTAAATCATTATAATGTTTTTGTTTATTTTAATAATTTAATAAAAAAAAAAAAAAAATTTATATAAAAATATATATGTTTATTATTTTATAAAATATTATAATAAATAAAATATAAAATTTTAAATTAATTTATAAATTTCAGTTTTTAAATTTTTAATAATTAAAAAAAATCTAATTTAATTAATATTAAAAAAATAAAAAATAAAAAAATAAAATTTGTTAAGAATAAATTTTAGATTAAAATAGAATGATAAATTTTAAAAAATAAAATAAATTTACAATAAAAATATAAGCCAAAATTTAATAATTTATATATTGAAATAAAGAGCATTTAATTAATAAAGAAAAAACAAAGCATAATATAGAATAATAATAATAATAATAAAAAATTATTATAAGTAAAAAAATAAAATTTAGGTTTTTTTAATAATTATAAATATAAAATAATATATATTTATATTTTTTATTTTTAAAATTAATAATTACTTTATTTTTTAAAAAAAATTTAATTTTTTTTATTATATTAAATTTAAATTTAAAATTATATTTTCATTTTTATTATGATTATAAATATGTTTTATTTTTTGTTTCTATTAGTTTTGAATATATATATTTTTTTATATAATATAAAAAAAACGAATTTAATAATTTAAATTTTAAAATATAACTTCTATAAAAAAACGATTTTTTTTTTTTTTTATTAATAAAATAATCTCAAAAATACTCATTTTTTTGTTAAAGGAATTTTAAAATTGCATTCTTATCCAAAATAATTTTAGCGCAATAACATTAATTATTAATGCAATATCCATTTGAATTACAGAAATTAGGACAAAAATTTTTAAACCCACAAAATTAGGCTATATTATCAGGACATATTAATTCTCCACTATATCCATTAACCTTCAATCTTTACAAATTTTATGTACATGTGACTTTAGTTTTTCCAACATAAATGGTCACTTATTATCCGTTAGATTTACATTCATATTTATAACATTCTCCTGTTATGCTATTTTTTGATTATTAGCTTTTTTCCTTTAATATAGAAGAGTTAAAACATCTGGAATTAATTCCAAATTGAATGCCCATCTTTTCCTGTATTTTCTTTCGTATTG